AATTGAAAGATCATGGGGAGAGCAAACACTTTAGTAATCAAGATAAATAATACTTTAATGCAATCTTTTTTTTAAAAAAAAATGAAAATTTATGATGAACAAAATTAAAAAATTTCATTTACAAATTAAAGACAAGGTGCTTTTTGATAGCTTGTAACCTTAAGTTTTCTTGCACAATGGAATTGTTCTTTTAGACAGTCCAGAGTTTCCAAACTTGCATTGCATCCCCACATCCCTGGCAGGGCAAGTGAATGAGGGTGTTAATGGTATGCAAAGAAATTGGGCAATGCAGGCCTGTAGCTATAGTACTGTGGTTTGATTGTAGATCTTCTGATATTGTTTTCCATTTGGTTAAAAGATGGGTGGAGGGCTGGGATTGTGGCTCAGTGATAGAGTGCTCGCCTAACACATGTGAGTCACTGGGTTCGATCCTCAGCACCATATAATAAATAGATAGATAGATAGATAGATAGATAGATAGATAGATAGACAGATAGATAGATAGAAAAGTAAATAAATAAAAGATGGGGGATGTTCTTATAAGTGTACATATGGGTGTATATTATTATTTTTCCTTGGGTTATAAGATATCTTAGCCAACACTACAGGTTTGGAATATGAAGCTGATGGTTTTTATTTTGGTGAAATTGATATGCTTTCTTAAGGGAATTATTGCAATAATTAAGTAGAAAGAGAAAAGCTGAAGAGCAGAGGGAGGAAGGACAGCCATTTCCCCTCCTATTGTGGCCTTCAGCCTCCTCTCTGCTTTGCTTGTAACTTGGCTTGGTGCTATCATTCAGCTGTCAGTGATGTCATAAGTGCAGAACTGAGTTCCAGTCCTGACTGGGCTACCCTTTTACAAGTCTGTAAATAAGCTTGCCATTCCCAGCTTCCTTTGTTCTGTCAAATGAGTGGGCAGGCTCGATGACTCATATCTCACAGGCACCTCTCTCACATTTCACACAGGCACGTCGATATCTGTAATAAAGCCCATACTTCAACCTTGACTATGCCAATCTTTGTATTAAGGAGCATTTCACAGGGCTTCCTATTTTCTTAAAAGGCTTGTAACTTTTCTGGGTGAAAGTCATATTTTAGATACAATAAGTTCCTGCTCTTCTGTTGGTTCTGAAGATTGTTATGCCTTGAATTATTCCCTCACTCTTGCATTTCTGCTCTTCATGAACATGGTTTCTGCATTTTCCCCCATCCTGCCCTTCACTACCAAACATCGGTAAAAGGGCTCTCCATCTGTTTTATACATTCTCTAACACTAATGCTATCTTCGGCACCTAGGACAGTAACTAAAACGTGTTAGAGAATCAGTGGGTGAGTACTTTTTAAAAGAAGGACTCTAGGATTCCACCTCTTGGGTCCCCTTCTTCCTCCAGGAGAAGTCTTTTCTGCTGTCCTTTAATAAACTTCTAATTTCTACTCTGAAAAAAAAAAAAAAAAAGAAGGACTCTATTCCTCTGAAATTTGGTATCCCCCCCAATCATTGGATGGGGAGTGGTCTCAGGATCTTTCTTGAAGCTACGTATCTTTGACCCTTGCTGTTTCTGTCGTGGGTCACTGTCCTGCCTCTTTTTGCAACTCCCACTTCATTACTCTTCCTGACACCTCTGTGTCCTGGGTCCCTTTTATCCTGACAACATCTCTGCCAAGATGGATCATGACCTTTTCTCTTCCTCCATCTTCCTCCTTAGGTGGAGGCTACTGTTCAAGGTTTGATTTTTTTTTTTTACTTTCACAAAAATTTCTGGCCCCACTAACTGATAAAAGAAGACTCTCAAGTTTGAATCCCATTTTTAACTCACATGATCTCCGCTCTCATATCTCCAGTAACTTCTTGGAGTTCATGTGCTCTTGCTCTGTATGTTCTGAGTGTGTCCTCCAAAAATTCATGTGCTGGAAGCCTGGTCTCCAGTATGGCAATGTTGAGAGGTGGTGGAACTACTAAGAGGTGGGCCTCCTGGGAGGTTTGGGGGTCATGACCTCCCTTGCAATGGATTAATGCTGATCTTGCAAAGTAAGTGAGTTCTTATGAAAGTTCATTTAATAAAGCAAGGCCACCCCATGCAATGCACCCATTCTGTATGCTAGAGCTAATAAAAGATCAGGTTCTTTCTCTAATAATTATCCTTTTCCTTTCTGTTCCCATCAACACAATCTATTCAGAAACTTCATGCTTGGGAAGCTGCAGGACTCTCCCCAAACCCTGCCTACCACCTCCTGTTTCATCATTGCAAACCCTGCCTATCACAATCTGCCAAAGAAAGCAACAACAAAAAGAAACAAATCCCTGTGATCCCTTCTATCTTGGCCAACAGATGCATGATAATTCAGTAAATTGAATACTCAAGACCTTACAGTTAAAAAATATTTTTAAAGAAAAAAAATGTATATACTGAAATGCATAGATATCAGGTATAGAATTTGATGTTTTGACAAATATATGTGCCCTTGTAACCAATATGCCAATCAAGATATATGACATTCTTTTAAAAAATTGTTTTAATTTATTTTAATTAGTTGTACATGACAGTAGAATACATTTATGCACTTTGATATATCAAACATAGATAGGATATAATTTCATTTTTCTGAGTGTACATGTTGTAGAATCTTATTGATCATGCAGTCACATATATACATACAGTAATAATGTCTGTTTCGTTGTACTATCTTTCCTATCCCCACATTCCCTCCCCTTCCCTCCCATCACTTCCCTTTACCTAGTCAAAGGTAACACTATTCTTCTCTAGTGCCCCCCACTCCTGCCTTATTGTGAATTACTATCCGCATATTAGAGAAAATATTTGGCCTTTGGTTTTATGGGATTGGCTTATTTTGCTCTTATTCTAGAAAGTTCCCTCAAGCCCGTTGCAAGTCAGTCACTCTCCAACCTCTCATAGGCAGCCACTGTTTGATTTCCATTATATAGGTTACTTTGGCCTGTTTTTGAACATCATTTACATAGAATGACTCAATATATCCTCTTTTGTGTCTGGATTCTACCATTCAAAATCATGTTTTTGAGATCTATCTGTATCATTGTAGTTAAGGGTGTTGATTTTTTTTTTTTTAATGCGGAAGAGTTCCATGGTACTGACTTTGTTTACCCATTTTTCCTATGGTGGTTTTATTTTTGCTGTAGTTTCCAATTTGGACTAATATGAATAAAACTGCTGCAAACATTTTTGTACAATCTGTTTTGTAAGCTTATCTTTTGTTTCATTTGAGTAGATATCTAGGAGTGAAATTGCTCACTAGGACAACTTAATGTTTGAGCAATCTATCTCTCTATTTTCCCCTCCTCACTCTCTCTTTCACACACACACAGACACACACACACACACACACACAAACACACACACACACACACACACACACCACCCCTAAAATCCCCAACTGGATTACATAAGATTATATAAATCTTTGAGGACAAGAAAATGCCTTAAATCTCTTTGGACTTCCCTCAAGGCTTATCAGAGCTTCTTAAACATTCTTGGGAAATACCATTAGATTGAACCATCTCACTGTAGGAAGAAGTTACCCTGCTCTTCCACTTTGTGGTCATGGAAGAAGCAACAGCCTTGAGGAGTGACAGACCTGGAGAGGTCAGTGACTGACACCTGAGAGGAATTAACCCCCCCACGCCCCACCCCCCAGAGCTCTGCACACTATAGACTCACTTAGTGCTGCCCTCTGGCCTCACTTGCAAGTAATCACTGTTCTCTATTTCCATTGTTAGGGAGTTAACAATTCTGTCACATGGGGTATAGTGGCCAAGAGCAAGGAGGCTTCAGACAAATAAGAGATTCAAAATTCCGAAGCTGAACCTGAATCTCTATTCCAAAGCTGAATAGTGAAGGATACTTTTTTCAATCTCCTTAAATTTCCTGAGCTTACATTTACCCTAGTATAAATGAGGGTATTATTTTCATACTCCTGGTGTTTGTGGTGAGGTTACATCATCGTCATTACTAACATTTATTGATGCTGTCCATCATCTAGATTTTGCTCTTACCCACAGGTATTAGTTCTCACAACAATGCTGCGTGCTGCTCCTGTCCTCATTTTACAGAAGGCGAAACAGATGCAGGGAAGTTAAATAACATGTCAGGCATCCCACTGCAGGGTGACAGTAGGGCCTGGCTTCAGATCCAGACAGTCTTGAGAGTAGAATGTACACACCTAACCCTTCTTCTTCTTCTTCTTCTCCTTCTCCTTCTCCTTCTCCTTCTCCTTCTCCTTCTCCTTCTCCTTCTCCTTCTTCTTCTTCTTTTCACCTAGCCTGCATCCCACAATGCTGTTTCCAGTTCCCAGTGCATATACATATGCAGGAAATACTAACTGCTGTCACCACTGCCATCTTCATCACCATTTCTAGCTCCCCTTTTAAAATAAGACCTTTACAGCAACTTCTGGATCCTTTGTCTTCCATCTGAGTGTATCTATGCATTCGATTTGGAAATGAGATTCTTTGCAATGTCAAGTTTTAAGTTCAAATTCCTTATGTGATTTGACATTTGGTTAGGGTGGTAGCAGTGGTACTGCATATCAACTTTTAACAGATATCTGTTTGGTAAATTTAGACACTTAATAGACACCAGTGAACTGGATTAGCTCTTCAGCAGAGCTTTGAGTGTCTGCCGGCACTGGGCTGCCTTTGTTCTGCAGATAGGTCTTCTGAAAACTCTTCATATCTTTCCAAGACTTTCTAGTATAATAATGAATAGAAATGTGAATAGTAATTGGTGGATGAGGGTAACAGCAGCAGTAAACAGAAAAAATCTAGGGAATGATAGTCACAGCCCCCTCTTCACTTAGCCATTCAGATCAATGACCCACTCAAACTTCTGTCTTCTAAATTCACCTGTCCCTAGCCAGCCCCAGTCTGTTGCTTCCTTTCTGAACTCAGCCCCTTGAAGTTATGGCCAAGGACAAGATTTCTTGCAGCCAGCCAAGATCAAGATGACATTGCACCTAAAATTGCAGCCAATATTTCTCATCTTCAGTCACCTTCAGTGACTTCTGTGTATTCCTCAACATGGCTCTAGAAGTTTCACAGATCTACTCTCCTTTTTTAGCTCTCTGCCTTACAACCACGAGTTGTGAGAACTAAATAGTTGAATTAGGTTATAACTTCCTTCCTTTTTTGTGCTACGACTGCTTTGCTTGTGCTCAGTGCTGTGCTTTCCCTTCCCTTGGTGATCTCTGGTTACCTTTGCACTTACCCTTTCAACTTAGGAGCTCTATATCTCTCAGCAGAGTTTGATTCTCATTTCCTGACAATGCACAGTTGTCAGATTGCATCAGCCATAAACCTGTGTAGGATGAACAATTAAATCTTTGTCAAGACAATATGTGATTTTGAAGATATGCAAAGTGAATAAAGATGTTATTAAATGCCTTTCCTGTCATCTTAATTTCCAGCGAGTTCTTCATGCCTGGGCTAGTGGATACACACATTCATGCCCCTCAGTATTTCTTTGCTGGAAGTAATGTAGACCTGCCACTTCTGGAGTGGCTGACCAACTACACATTTCCTGTGGAGCGGAGATTCCAGAGCATGGATTTTGCTGAAGAAGTCTACACCAGAGTAGTTGTAAGTATCCTGTGTGTGAGTATGGTATTACGCTTGGTTAGTTATAGAAATATCCTTTCCAAGCCAGATTTAAAGTTATAAAGCTTAGGCAGTTAAGGCTTTGATGGACTATAGCATTTAAAAAAAAAAAGTTTTTTCCATAATCCAGGGAGTTTGTGACCACCTCCTCTACACAGCTGGACTGTGGCAAGAAGAGAGTTTGAATCTAAGTCTCCAAATCCTCAATCTGGTGGGCTTTTCATTACTCTCTTTTAGGTCTCATATTTTACATTGACAAATTTAGATTTAAATGCTTATTTGTATTCCCTTATTCCTTCCAATTCATAATGCTGTTCTCAGGACCATATGGAATAGTTGTATGACCTTTGGAAAGTTCTGTGACTCACTTTCCCCATCTGTGAAAAATAATGATAGTATCTACCTCATAGGATTGTTATGATAAATCAGCAAGTTAATATTTGTGAGATTCTTAAAACAGTACCTCGCACATGGTAAGAGCTCTATGTGTCTGTTCAAAAAAATACCCAAAGAAATTTGAAATTAAAATTTTAAATTACCTTTAGAAGAATATCATACATTTTGGTAGGCTTAAGAGGAGGGAAAATAGGATGCTGCCACGTTGAAAGACCCGCAAGGATATGACTTGAGCATTAGCACCACTAGAGGGAACTCTGGGGCTATTTAGTCAATGAGCTTTGTCTCGTGCCAATCACATATGGAAAACTCTGAAAATGTCCTTCCTTCCACAATTTCAAGCAGTTTGGCTCCTTTCTTTCTATCCAACCCTGTGCCCAGAACCAGACCACACTGAGCAACCAGAAACAGCTTCCGCAGCAGAGAAGTAGAGCTTCAGGTGTATTTTCTTCTTCCACTACTTCCTGCTGTTCAGCACACTTGGTCTGTACACCACTGTTTGTTGGACTCATTGATAGTTTTCCACCTAAGGTGTCGATTGCATGGTAGTGACAATATTATATGCCTCACACAGTGACTAGCCTAGCCACCCTACCAGTTCCCCTGGTCTTGCATCATCCCAGCCTTAAAGAGCAGAAGCAAGTGGTAACATTTATACACTTGACTCGCTTAATTATAAATCCAGTGTAATTGTGGGTCTCACATAGTTAGCCTGCATCTATGTAACACCAAGAAAACTGGGAAGAAGTTGCTGGCACATTGTCTTAATGAGTTGTGTTAACCACACCAAGTCTTTATTCTCAAAATTTATTTATACCTCATTGTTCTAAAACGGTTTTGAGATAGCTTGAAATTGCATGGTATACAGCAAAAGAAAATGAATCATCAAATCTCAGTGAAGGAAAAAAAAGTGGAAAAATAAAATAAAATCACAAAGTCAATGTATACCACGGGAGTGTGGGATTGGATACACTCTTTAGAGTTTGTCAAAAATTAGATTTTAAATGTCTAGTACCTGATCCGGAGAACTAAATCATCTATGAAATTTACCTTGTGTGTGTGACTTAAAAACATCACATTTGTTAAAATAAAGCATGTCCATTCCTTACAGTGAAATTTAAGAAAATGAATCCCCAAATACCTTAATGCGGATAGTTTCTGTGTTGTCAAAATCTGTACTATAAAGTAGCTATGGAATCAAAAGGCCCAGCTGTATCAAAACTATTCTGTTAGAGGGATGGGTATCAAGGACTATATATCCTTTAGGCAATGATTTGCAAATATTAGTTCTTACATCAGAGATTTAAGTATTGGATGTTAGTGAGTACAAAATAGGCTGAATTCCTGATGGGTATTTGCATGTATACATATATATTTCAGATTGTGAACAGGCTCATATACTAACAACTGGATGAGCTGAGAGTAAGGTTGACATCTGTTTAAGAATGTTGAGATTTGCTCATTAGAAAACTTGTCACTTGGCTTAAGCTTTCCTGTGGCAATGCAAAGGAGTATAAAAGAAGTTCTCATGAGTAAAACCAATAATTCTACTCTTTTTCTTCTCTCCCCCAGAAACAGTCATAGATCTACATCAGCCAATTTGCTCCATAAGTTATGCCAGCACTGACAATCTTCAAATAAAGTATATGTTAGCAAATGTCTCGCAAAATTAAGAAAAAACTCTTAGTAAGCCAAACCTAAAAAGAATGTTTCCCTTTCAGTATTGCAAACTGAATGAGAGGTTACAATTTCAAATGGGGCTGAAATGAACTAAAACGACAAGAAAGTTCAGGAATCAGCCTATTTTACAGTTAGAGGACAAGAGAATAAGATCTTTGGTCAATGAACTGAGACAAACTATCTGAAACTGTTCTTCTCATAATAGAACCAACATACTTGCTCTATGGGGTCTTCATCAGTTGGGCAGATGCATAAGGGAGGAATTCAACCAGTTCCAAAGAAATATGAAGTCACTACAGTACAGGGTGAAAAAAAGTGAGAATCACCCCCTGCCCCCACCTTTTAAAAGGCCATTGCTACTGGCCTTGAAACTCATAGCCATCTTAAGTTTGGAATTGCTTTTCAGCTCATAAAACTTGGCTTATGAGAACCAAGAACTTCCAATTCTTTTCTTCAAGAATTGGAAGCCGAAGAAAGCCTGGGAAACATAGCCCATAATTTGATGTTGTTCCTGACAGATTTCTTTAAACATGGAAAAATTACAAAATAGTCATTAATAGTTCTCTATAAAGCTTGTGAAAAGCTAGGGTGGAACTGGGACCTGGGAAGGCCAAACACAGAACTCATGAAGAAGGAAAGTAGCTGCATTTAAAATGGCTTGGCTAGTGAGATTTGAAGCCAAACTCTTATTTTCTTTTTTGTTATATAAGTAATAACTGTGTATCCTGTTTATTAAATGAACTGAGCTCAATGGGAACAAACATGGGTAGCTTTAAGGTTCTCTAGCACTTTCCCTTCCTTCCTTCCTCCTTTTTTCCATTCATCTGTCCTTCCGTCCTTCCTCCCTTCTCTTTGGGCTATCTCTGTCCTGTCCCTTGACTCTAGTTTGGGAATATTCCTGAATTTTCTAGTCTTTTTAGCTCATTCCAGTCCAATATGAAACTACAATTTCTCATCCAGGCCTGACCCCAAGACAGTGTCTGTATAATGTTTCCATTGCTAACTAGAATTTGGTGGATTTTATTTTTACTCTTCAGTTTTTATTTAACTACTTTATTGAGGTTGGATGGATGTACAATTTGACATATAAAAACTGTACATAGTTAATATACAATATTACTTGATGAACACACCATACAACCATGAATCCATTATAGTCAAGATCATAAACACAGATATCATCACCTCCAAAAGTTGTTTCCCTTCCCTTTTTTT